ATACATTAAATACAATGTGTAATTTACATAATGAAGTATGAAATGAACAGCTCTGTTCCAGGAGGAATGCCTTTGCCTAGACACAATTAATATTGATATTTTCACAATATTTACGCTTGCAGAAATATACATTTGTTTACGGAAGATGATCCGTCAATGTGCATTTGTTTGGTTATGTTCGGTAGCGGTCATGTGAGGAGTTTTTCTCCGTGTCAAGGGTTATATACATATATAATGCATAATTAATATACTTTCAAATATTATTTAATTCAGTGATGCAAATCAGAATTTTCATCAGCCGTTACTCCAGTTTTCAGAGTCATATGATCCTTCAGAAATCATTCTAATATACTGATTTATTACCAGTGTTGGAAACCGTTTCGCTGCTTAATATTTTTTGGAACCGGTGACATTTTGTTCAGGATTCTTTGATGAATAGAAAGCTAAAAAGAACAGCACTGATAATGAATCAACATATTGGAATGATTTCTGAAGGATTGTGTGACACTGAAGACTGACTGGATGTTATTTGAAGACCCCTGAGATTTTAAGGTAATAAGTTAATAATTAGCATCACATTTGCATGTTCACGGTTCTCTGGTATTGGTTAATGGTCACATGACATACAGGTAAACAAACAGAATATTTAATGTATTTAGTATGCGTTATATTTTGATTGATGTTATTTTAAAATGATTTATTTTAATTTGACATTGTTATGATTTTCAGTAAACTCACGAACCCCCTCAGTTTGGGAGACTTTGATATAACGTAACGTTTAATACACTTCATATTGTCACTAAGAACGAATGGAATATTTTCTTTTTCTTCACATTTTTATATCAATTTGGTAAGACTATACTATTTAAATCAATGTGATAAACAAGTGAGGTGAAAAGTAATCTAAAAGTAGTCTGATTATATTACCTAAATTGTGTAACGTGATGGATTATGTTACTAACTACAATTTCTGTCTTGTAATTTATAATCAGTAACAGATTACAATTTGTAAGTAATCTACCCAGCTCTGTGTGTGTGTGAGTGCGTGTGTGTGAGTGTGTGTGTGTGTGTGTGTGTGTGTGTGAGAG